CCCATATCCAGTGCATGCCGAATGTGCATTACGCAGGACATAAATAACTTACGGGTTCCAGGGACAGATGCCCAGACAAACTGGGGAGGAGTGGCCGTGTCCAATCAACTGCTGCCATTCTCCAGCACTGGGGCAGCCTGGTCTCTTTCCAACCAAGTGTCTTGTCCTAAAGCAAGTCCCCAAACAGAGGCTCTGAAAGGGGCCCTGCCCCTCCCATCTTAGCTCCTTGCCGAAGAGCTGAATCCCTGCCTGGATGCACTGACTTTTACTTTTTGGCAGCAAAGGCAAACCAACAGCCTCGTCTTTCGACGCTGGATTTCCTGATCGGTGGGAATACCCGGATTGTCGGACCCCGAGAAAATGTGACAGCCCGTCACGTGCCTTCCAGACAGGTTTCTAAGCAACTCTGTAGGTTCCTCTCTCTGCCAGGCCTTCCTAGCAGAGTTGCTAATAAAACTCAAATCCTATTCATGGAACAAGGGATTAAGATTGGACTGGCCGGGCATTGTGGTTGGTGGCAAAACGCACCCAAGGCACACTGTGTTCCTGGAGCCCAGTCCTTCTGTTTTGGTGACTTAACACAAACTGTCCATGAAACACTATGACAATGGCGTCACTGTCCCCATTTACTGGGCACTAAACCTGATGCTCAGAGCATTCACGTCACTTCTCTGAGGTCATGTGTCTATTAAAATGAGTGATCCGGATTCCTAGAGAGCTCACACCATCATCATCATCATCATCACTACCCCAGTGAAAAAATAAAAAATACTGCAAAAACTAACTTGAGCCGCTTTTTATAATTCTCACATTGCCTTCATCCGAAGGCCTAGCAGTCCCTTGAGTGTGCCATGGGTGTGTTCACCTCTGGTCTCTACTGCTCATGCTGTTCCCTCCCTTCCACTAAGCCTACCTTCCAGATCCCCTCCTCCTCCTCATTCATCCTTCAAATCTCACCTCCTCCAGGAAGTCTTCCCTGATGCACCTTCTCTCCCTAGTCCTGTGAAATGCCCCTCCTGTGTACTCTCAAAACACTACCACTGTCCTGGGACTTAATCGCACTGTATAACAACCTTCTGCTTGTCTGCATCCCTCACTGGACAAGCACTGGGAGAGCCAGGTTCCACCTGCAGTGCTGCCCGCCAGATCACTAGCCCTGTGGCTGGTGACAATCTGAATAAGTATCTACCGGGCGGATGAGTGAGCGCTGCGGCTTAGACACGACCATTGGAGCCTGCTCCCATCTGGGATGTGACGTCCAAAGAAGAGCTTCCTGATTTTGTTTCTTCCAGACTCACTACCATCTGTGTATTTATTACAGCTCTAATGACCTCTCTGCACAGAGCTGGGAGCATCCGGCTTTGGGCCGGATCCAAGTTTGCAGCCTTTCCCTCCGGCTGTGTTTGCACGCTGCACGGCCCAGGTGGTGGAGCTCCCTGCGGAGCAGCAGTTCAGGAATGCAGTGTGTGCAGACCCTCCCTTCGCCCCGTCCCCGCCTCTGCTGGCCGTGGAGGAACTGGGCCGGAGCAGGGCACCGGAACCTGCTATCTTCGTTTATGAGAACTAGTTGCACTGGCTCCCCTGTTCTTAGTGCCCACAAAACAATCCACCTGCTCCCTCCATTCCCGCTGCTGCTGCCCTAGGTCAGAGCCCGTCCTTCGCCCTTCATCGTCTTGCCTGGGACACAGCAACAGCCTCTACGTGGTGGCCCTGCCCCTGGTCCCGTCCCTTTCATTCTATTCTCTACGCTCAGTGATTCTTCTGAAACGCAAATCTGACCATGTCGAACACCTGTGGGTGGCTCCTCCTAAGCGCAGCCAAGGCCCCTCCAGGCCAGCTTTACCCCTTGCTGCCTCCCAACGTGCCTGCGCTCTCCTACCCAGCCACCAGCATGAACGCCTTCATCTGCTCTTCCCTTCACTTGGTACTTCATTCTGCTGTCTCACATTTGCTCAGTACGTTCATTAAATACATGTTTATTATGTGCTTCTGGTGTGTTTGCTTCTATTCTAGAGGAGGGAAACCCAGAGGAGAATAGATTCTACGTCTCTCATCTAAGAGTCTTATATTTTGGTACTATGTTTAGGAAAGAAGCAGGAGACAGGGACTGATACATGAGCCAGGTGATTGCAGACAGCACTTAGTATACGTCCTGATGAAAAGAAAACAGGGCATGTCACAGAAAGTGACTTAAAGGGTTACTCTGGAGGATAGAGGGAGGAGGGGACAGTTTCTGATGATGCCACATCTAAGACATTTAACCAGGGAGGGAGAGGATGTTCCAGGCAGTGGGGACGGCAGGCACAAAGGCCCTACGGTGAACCTGGAATACAGCAAGAACAAAAGGGAGGGAGGTGTAGCTCGCGGGCAGTGGTCAAGGGGAGGGAGGCCGGGATGACAGGCACGGGGCGGGCCTAGAGGAGGCCGCTCTCTCATTCCTGGTGCTCTCGGACCCACAGACCGACCTGCCTCCCGGCATTTCTGAAGAGTCATTAAGCCGCAGATAACTCACACTCAGGACTGGCTCAGTCTCTCATTTCAATCCCAGGCCCGGGCGCAGCGCCTGGCCGATGGCCGGTATTCACGCTCCCTCACTGAGCAGGGATTCTGAGAAAGACCTCGGACACTTCTTCACCCCGATGAGCCCCCAGGGGAAGGAGATGGCAGGAGAAGCTGCTGAGTCACTTACAAAGGGAGTCCCCCTTCCCGTGACACTAGCGGCTGGCCGCAGGGACTCACCCATACGGATGGATGATTAATGGATGGCTCCGTCCCGCCAGGCTTTTTAGGTGAGCCCCTCCACGGAGAGGGGAAAAAGAGGCAAAAGAACAGTTTTCCTTTAACGTTTGGAAAAAAATGCCGAACGGGCGCTCAAATATCGATGGTGATGCCAAACACCGATGTGAGCAAAGAGAACTGATGGAAAAGCCAGAAGAACAGCGTTTGTGGGAACCTCCAAGCGCTTCCCGAATCTGAGAGCGTTCGAGGGCTTAATGTTTTGCTTTCCTGTATCGCTTGCTGTGGAGCAAGGAGGACGCCGGGAAGGCGCCGGGGCTGCGTGGAGAAGGGCTGGGGCTGGCCGCGACTCCGCCGTGACGCGGAGACCCAGTGCACAGAGCACAGAGGTGCCCTGCGGCAGAGCCACCCCGGTGAAAGCCCAGGTCAGTGCGTGCCTCCGGCCTTCCAAGGTGCCTTGTCCTGCCACGGGACACTAAGGAATTCTCACGACATCCAAAGTAACTATAAAACAACAATAATAGTAATAAATCAAGATTCTCACTCTGTAACCCTGCTTGCAACTCCCTACCAATCTGGCTCCCGCCTCCCTCCCCGCAAGCCCCTGGGGCACACCGGCCATCCTGTTCCTCTCCAGGAACCCATCCTCTCAGGGCCTCTGCCCCAGCCACCTCCGCTACCTGGAATGCGCTGCCCTCCCTCTTGCCTGGCTGGAGTGTTCTCGTCATTTATGCTTCAGATGAAAAATCACCTCCTCGTAGAAATCGTCCCTGACCCCCCAAATCAATGGGGCGCCACTAATACATTGCTATGTGGCATTTGCCACCGGTTGATAATTTTTTTCTGAGATTTTGTTTGGTTATGATTTGTGTCTCCTCCACCAGAATATAAGTTCATGAGAGCAGTGGCCCTTGTCCTTTTTCACCTGTGAATACTCAGTGCCTCAGAATAAGGAGAAGGCCCTTGGTAAATGTTTGTTGATGGAATGAACCAACCAGTTACTTCTGTGTCCAATACTAAGGGTCAAGGAAAGAGCAGGGAGCAAATATTTATTGAGCATCTAACACATGGCTGGCACAGCTAGGTGCTTTATATGTAATTTCTCACCTACCCTCCAAGCATCCCTATGGAAGTTTTTCTGCCCCATTTCATAGAGGATGAAACTGAAGCACAGAGAGCTTGAGTTGCTTGTCTGAGGTCACACAGGTAGTAACTGGAAGCAATTAAAGCCAGACCTTGCTGGGCATGGTGGCTCACTCCTGTAATCCCAGCACTTTTGGAGGCTGAGGCAGGATAATCGCTTGAGGCCAAAAATTTGAGACCAGCCTGGGCAACATAGAGAGACCCCATCTCTCAAAAAAAAAAAATCAGCCAGGTACAGTGGTACACACCTGTATTCCCAGCTACTTGGGAGGCCAAGGCAGGAGGATCGCTTGAGCCCAGGAGTTTGAGGCTGCAGTGAGCTATGACTGCATCACTGTACTCCAGCCTGGGCAACAAAGTAAGACCCTATCTCTAAAAGAATATACATATATGAATGAATGAATAAATAAATAAAAACTAAAACACCAAATCTGGCTCAGCCTGACTCCAAATGCCCTGCTTTTTCCCCTGAAATGCTCCTTCCCCAGACCCTTAGAACTTAGAATCAGTTTCAACTTTGCTCCTTGTCTGCTGTGTGACCACAGGCAAACTGCCTATCTCTCTGTGCCTTAATTTCTTCAACTCTAAAAGACGGTTTCTCTGGGCATCAAATGAGATACAACATACGAAAAGATTATAAATGGCAAAGAAACAGGAAAATATAGTAGATGGTAGCTGTGGCTGTGACTGTTTACCTAACACTGTCTTCACCCATCTGACCCCTGAAGGAGTCAGTTACTTCTGATCTCCTTTTGTGCCACCCCACACGCTGACCACACCAAAACCTGGGACTCCCACGTGGATGCCGTGTCCACGAAGGCTCTGGAGTTTCCTGCCTACGGGAGACACTTCGTCTGCTGTTTCACTGGCGCTTTTTGCTCAGTTTGCTGTGCTTAGAAACTCACTTCTGACCTCGCCTCGCCTGGGCCAGCTGCAACCCGTCTGCAGCGGCAGTGGTCCACACAGACGAGACCCGCTCAATGCAGCAGACCCCGGGCAGGGATGGCGTTGCGTGCGTCGACGTCCTGCCCCGAGCCTGACGCGGCGCCCGGCATGCCGGAGGTCCTCAAGAGACCAGCAGAGAAGCCGCCCCTTCCCTGCCAAGCCCGAGAGCCACTTACGTTCTCGCTGTTGACATCGGCTTCACTGGGGCAGCCAAACAGTTCCCGCCTCAGGAGGTTCCCGTCGTACTCCAGGAAGGTCAGGTACAGGTTGCGGAAAAATTCCACGTGCTTATTCTTCACCCGAAGCTTCTTGGGGGAGTTCCAGTGAATGACCTGGTGGGGGGAGAAGGAGGCAGTCAGGTGGGAGGGACCTCGCCCAGACGGGAAGCCACGCCTTGGCATGGGGCTAGCACGCTTTGTGTGTCTGCGGATCCATGCATTCATTTGACATTTATGGCAGAGTGGTTACTAGTAAGGTCCCTAAGGCTAGGATGCTTGGGATCAAATCCTGACTCTGCCCTGGGTGGTCATTTATTTAATCTTGGGAAACTCACTCAATCCCTCTGTTCCTCAGTTTCCCTATCTGTGAAATGGGAACAGAAACAGCTCCCGCCTGGGCCAGTTATTAGATTATTGTCTCTCAGCCCCAACTGGCTTCGTGATGCTGAGGCTGGGACTCTGCAAACCCTGTTTCTGCTTGGCCAGGTGCCGCCTGTTCGGTCCTGCCAACGGGGGGCGGGACAGGGACACTTGCGCCTGCCTCTCTGCTGCTTCCTGCACCTGTGGGTATCACCCCAGTCTCCTTTCCTCACCCTGGCAGGGGCACCTCCGTCAGCAGCAGCTAAATCCATTTTGCAGTTTCTCCAACACTGAGAACACGCTTCGTCATCCTCCCTTCTGCCCACTGCCGCTGCCCCTGGAACTGGCTGGTGACCCCACCCCGGTGGTCTGGGTCCCGGCCCCACGTTTAAACGATTCCCACCTCTTCCTTCTGTTCCTTCAGCTCTAAGGGTGGTAAATGTTCCCTGTAATTTCCTTTTTTGTTTTTTCAGGTACCAAGTGAACACTTTATGCCTAGTTACCATTTTAAAGATTAAATTCTATTTTCAAAGAATTGCTATGGTTTCTGCCTCCAGCCAGGCCCCTGAGCGATACACTGTCTCACAAAGCCGTTGTGAAAAATAAACGAGTTAATACACGTAAAGCATGCAAATGGTGCCTAGCACAGGGTAAGTGCTTAACAAATGCTGGCTCTGACTGGTTAGTGCCACAGTGTATCAACCCGAATGAATGACTGAGGCAAAGATCACAATCGATGCAGGTTTATTAAGCCAAGATTTTGAGGATGCGCCCAGGAAAAACCACCAACCCAGCTGTGTATGAGCTGTGGCTATTTTTTCCCAAAGGGGAGGCTGGAACATTCAGTATTTTAAAGGCATTCAGAGAGAAGGAAATAGGCGGGGGTGGGGGGATGAGGAGGTAGTGGCTACGTTCTTGTGAGGCCCAAGAAATCTACATTTTACATAAAATGAGGGAGTGAAGGAAGCATCAGTTATGTAGCTGCCCCTGGGTAGGTGGAAGAATGCCTGATTCTGTCTCGTCTCTGGGTCTGCTACCTGTAAGATAAACTCACAATTCATTATTAGTGTGGAGTTAGACAGGCTTTAGTTTTAGGCGCTAGATACACGTACAATTTGCATGTCCCTGCTTCTGGGAGGTTGGCAAGAAATTTTTTTTTTTTTTTTTTTTTGAGACAGAGTCTCACTGTGTTGCCCGGGCTAGAGTGCCGTGGTGTCATCCTAGCTCACAGCAACCTCAAACTCCTGGGCTCAAGCGATCCTCCTGCCTCAGCCTCCCAAGTAGCTGGGACTACAGGCATGCGCCACCATGCCCGGCTAATTTTTTCTATATATTTTTAGTTGTCCGATTAATTTCTTTCTATTTTTAGTAGAGACGGGGTCTCGCTCTTGCTCAGGCTGGTTTCGAACTCCTGAGCTCAAACAATCCGCCCGCCTCGGCCTCCCAGAGAGCTAGGATTACAGGCGTGAGCCACCGCGCCCGGCCAAGAAATTTTCTTAATGAATGGTCTGTGGGGCCAGCTCTTCACAGGTGCCCGAGGCTGGGGTTTTCTTTTTACAAGTACACAGGATGGGGAGATGTGCCTGCCCACGGCATGAGCTCTCATGGTTTGCTGGGGAGAAGTGGCCACCAACAGGCAGTGAGAATGTCATAAAGGAGGTAGGATCAAAAAGAAACAGCTCTACAAGGCTCTGAGGCATCAAAGATACTCCTGCCAGGGCTTGAAGGACAGGCTCTGGGGGGAGGAGGGGACAGAGCCTGGGGCGGAGGCAGGACCTGTGGGGTTGTGGGTGTGGCTACAGCTGGTGCTCAAGGGGCAGGGAGACATGTGGCTGGCGTGGTAGCGGGGCGAGGCTCTGGACCCGCGAGGCCCGTGTTTGGCACTCAGGCTGTGGGCACCGGAGATTTTTACGGAGAGGGTAAGTGACCCACTCCAGGTCTCAGAAAGATCACTGTGAGCGTAACAGAGAAGATGTGTGAGGCAGGGTGCGAGGGGCAGAACAGGAGCTGGGAGGTCAGTCATGAGCCAGCTGTAACTTCCAGCTGAGAGATGAGGCCTTGGGGACAGTTTCTGATTTGGTTGGAGAGACAAGACAGGCAAAGAAAAAGCAAGCAAACATTCATAGAAGATTTAATATGTGCTAAAATCTATTCTAAGAAAGCATCTTAATTTATTATTAATATTTAGTGGCATTTATTATGAGTATTAATAATTATTCATTATTACTATATAAGTATTAGCAATAAATAATTTATATTAACTTATTTAATGCTCATAACAAGACTATGGGATGGCACTATTACAGATCCCATTGTACAGATGGGAAAATGGAGGCACAGAAAGACTACGTCATCTGTCTGCCGTCACACGGAGTTAGACTTGGAACCCTGGTTCCCTGGCTCCAGAGTCCACCTCCCCAACCACTCACTGCACTTCCAGTGTCTCTGAGATGAGCACGTGGGGCCCCTTACAGGTGAGAAGTGTTACAGATGTTTACCAAGGACCAGGGACGAGAAGACAGACGGATGGAGCAGTCAGGTGGGCTCTCACAGCTAAGGGACACGAGCTGGACCCTGAATGATGGGGTGGAGGCAGAGAGCCGAGGGGACAGGAATGTCACGCAGTATCAAGAATAGCAGAGCCAGGGAAGGAGACCTGTGACGCTGGCCCTGGTTGTACGTGCTCATATTCTCCATGCTCCACGGCAGACACCGAGACAAGGCTGAGCCTTAGCGCAGTGGAGTGAAAACCTGCGCCTGGTCTACAGGGGCCCTCCACAGACACCTGCGACACGAAAGGCGGCTGGACTGAGTGGCCACCACCTGTGCCCCTGGCTGGGAGCTCTCTCCTGGCGGGCTGAACATTCCCCAGCAGTTTCACATCGCTGGCTTCTTTCAGTCCCCACACGGACCCTAACACGGTGCGCACACAAAGATGAAGGAACAGCGAAGAGGTGACTTGCCCGTGGCCACCCAGCTGCTAAGCGTGGAGCTAGGCCTCAAACGTCAGTCTGTCCTATTTCAAAGCCCACACTCTTTCCTCCACACTGCGGAGAACAGGGGAAGCGGGGTTTTTAAACCTTCCCTTTTCATGCTTTGATTACACAGGAAACAAATAGCTGTCACCTTCCCCTCTATAGCCCTGTAACGCCTCTCTGTCTCCTCGGTGGGGGTTGGAGCAGCATATCTAATGCAATGAACTGAATGTTTATGTCCCCCCTAAAATTTGTGTGCTGAAGTCCTAACCCCCAAGGTGATGGTAATAGGACGCGGGACCTTGGGGAGGGGATTAGGTCAGGAGGGCAGAACCCCCATGAATGGGATCCATGCTCTTACAGAAGAGGCCCTGAGAGCTCCCTCGCCCCTTCCACCACGTGAGGACACAGTGCGACAGGGCCACATACGAACCAAAAAGTGAGCCTTTCTCAGACACCAAATCTGCTGGTCTCCGATCTCGGAGTTCCCAGCCACGTGAACTGTGAGAAATGAATGTCTGCTGTTCGTAGGTCACCCAGTTTGCGGCATTTTGTCACAGCAGCCTGAACAGATGAAGACACTGAGGAAAGACACTGATGTCCACAGCTCAGTCGCGTCCTGTGATGTGACTGACTGTGACAGTCGGCAGCGGGGGCCAGGGCCGGCCACCCAGAGGGAGGCCTGGAAGACCCGGCTCCCTCTGCCCTCTCTTTTGGGGATGTGCCTTGGTGATCCCCCTTGCGGTATCCTCTCTCTCACGGTATGGGGAATGAAAGGAAACCTGTTGGGTCCAAACTGCATCCCCCTGGCCTCCCATAACCAGCAATGGCACAGTAGCCAGAGCCAGAACCGTGGACCTCAGGCCAGCCAAGGTCTGAATATCAGCGGTGTCCTTGGGCAACTCGTTTTCCTTCTTGGAACCTCCGTTTGCTCACGTGCAAGGTAGGGATCTGAAAGTAGTGAAGAGGGTTAAATACACAGCGGGTGCACCACATGCACGCCAGGGTGGCTCTGCACATGTGGGTCCCTTTCCTCCACGAGGATGGGGCAACTAGACTGCACAACTAGTGTTCTGCCCTCCTTTCTCCCTCCTGCCACCACGGTGTCTGCTGTAGCCATCAGCAAGGAAGCAGGCACACATTTGGGAGGGGGCAGAGAGGGCCAGCAGAACTCCTTGGAACGAGACTACTGGATGACGCTTGCGTTTCAGGGAAAGACGAGTGTGCGATGCGCAGTTTTCTTCCTGTGCCTTTTAAAGGGTACGAGAGGGAAGATTCTCCCCTAAGAACACATCCAATCTGGGCATAAGACGATCCTGGGCCATGCATTAAAATAATTGCATGTGGGCTGCTGTCACTCACGCCCAGTGGGGATCGTGTCTTCTCTGCGAATGATTTTGGCGCGTGCCAAGTGCTGAGCCAGCAGGAAGGCTGACGGATGTGCATCTGACTCAGGAAACCTGGGCTTCCTCCACAGCGAGGAACCGAAACTAAGTGAATACAAGGGCTGCTTGATGGGTCCCCATATAAGCAAAGCTTAATGTGTTGTGCACAATCTGCCAGGTACTTTGGAGGCTTTGTCTCATGGAATTCTCCAGATCCGCCATTTGAATGTCACCATCTACTTTATGGAGATGGTATGTGACTTGCCCACAGCTCACAGCCGGTACGTTGCAGAGCTGAGACTGGAAGCCAGCTCTAAACCCCAAACCTGAAGTTCTTAACTACTAGCACGTCTGGTTTCAATGGACTGAACGTTTTACAGTGAGGAGAGTGAGG